TATTCCCGCCATCTACCCAATGCCTTCAGCTCCCCATCTACTAACTCCCCTACTGCTTTTATCTCATGAATCCATTCATTCCTTGGGTTTTCTTAAGAGTTGTTTATTTTTTTTTATTAGCACACTGGCCGATTCCCACCAAGGCAGGGTGGCCCGAAAAAGAAAAACTTTCACCATCATTCACTCCATCACTGTCTTGCCAGAAGGGTGCTTTACACTACAGTTTTTAAACTGCAACATTAACACCCCTCCTTCAGAGTGCAGGCACTGTACTTCCCATCTCCAGGACTCAAGTCCGGCTTGCCAGTTTCCCTGAATCCCTTCATAAATGTTACTTTGCTCACACTCCAACAGCACGTCAAGTATTAAAAACCATTTGTCTCCATTCACTCCTATCAAACACGCTCATGCATGCCCGCTGGAAGTCCAAGCCCCTCACACACAAAACCGCCTTTAACCCCTCCCTCCAACCTTTCCTAGGCCGACCCCTACCCCCACCTTCCTTTCACTACAGACTGATACACACTTGAAGTCATTCTGTTTCGCTCCATTCTCTCTACATGTCCGAACCACCTCAACAACCCTTCCTCAGGACAACAGTTTTGGCAATCCCGCACCTCCTCCTAACTTCCAAACTACGAATTCTCTGCATTATATTCACACCACACATTGCCCTCAGACATGACATCTCCACTGCCTCCAGCCTTCTCCTCGCTGCAACATTCATCACCTATGCTTCACACCCATATAAGAGCGTTGGGAAAACTATACTCTCTACATTCCCCTTTGGCCTCCAAGGAAAATTTCTTTGTCTCCACGACTCCTAAGTGCACCGCTCGCCCCTTTCCCCTCATCAATTCTATGATTCACCTCATCTTTCATAGACCCATCCGCTGACCCGTCCACTCCCAAATATCTGAATACATTCACCTCCTCCATACTCTCTCCCTCCAATCTGATATCCAATCTTTCATCACCTAATCTTTTTGTTATCCTCATAACCTTACTCTTTCCTGTATTCACTTTTAATTTTCTTCTTTTACATACCCTACCAAATTCATCCACCAACCTCTGCAACTTCTCTTCAGAATCTCCCAAGAGCACAGTGTCATCAGCAAAGAGCAACTGTGACAACTCCCACTTTGTGTGATTCTGTATCTTTTAACTCCATGCCTCTTGCCAAGACCCTCGCATTTACTTCTCTTACAACCCCATCTATAAATATATTAAACAACCACGGTGACATCACACATCCTTGTCTAAGGCCTACTTTTACTGGCAAATAATCTCCCTCTTTCCTACATACTCTAACTTGAGCCTCACTATCCTCGTAAAAACTCTACACTGCTTTCAGTAACCTACCTCCTATACCATACATCTGCAACATCTGCCACATTGCCCCCCTATCCACCCTGTCATATTCCTTTTCCAAATCCATAAATGCCACAAAAACCTCTTTAGCCTTATCTAAATACTGTTCACTTATATGTTTCACTGTAAACACCTGGTCCACACACCCCCTAACTTTCCTAAACCCTCCTTGTTCATCTGCTATCCTATTCTCCGTTCTACTCTTAATTCTTTCAATAATAACTCTACCATACGCTTTACCAGGTATACTCGACAGACTTATCCCTTATAATTTTTGCACACACTTTTGTCCCCTTCTTCCTTTATACAAAGGGACTATACATGCTCTCTGCCAATCCCAAAATTTTTTCTTATTCACCGCAAAATTTCTTGACAGTGCCTCTCCCACTATCATTTGCTTTCCTTTTGCACTTTTTCACTGCTCTCTTCTTTTTTAACTCTCCATATACTCTTCCCTTCTTATATCACTTCTGCTTTGTAAAAACATTTCATAAGCTACCTTTTTCTCTCTTATCACACACTTTACCTCATTATTCCACCAGTCACTCCTCTTTCCTCCTGCATCCACCCCTCCTATAGCCACAAACTTCTGTCCCACATTCTAATACTGCATTTTTAAAACTATCCCATCCCTCTTCAACCCTTCCCTCCACTACCCATACTTGCACTAGCCCACCTTTCTGCCAATAGTAGATCTACGTTTTTTTCAACATTTGAAAGTATGTAAAAAATGTGGATCTTCTTTCTTTTTTAAATTTAAAAACGTAAAGAAACTTTGATTTACGTTATTTTTTTTGTCATATTTGAAAATATATAAAAAAAACGTAATCTACTTTTGGAGCACTACGCATGTGAATGTAGATCTGTTTGGACAGTTTAACCCTTTGACTGTCGCGGCCGTATATATACGTCTTACGAGGTACCGTGTTTGACGTATATATACTCATAAATTCTAGCGGCTTCAAATCAAGCAGGAGAAAGCTGGTAGGTCCACATGTGAGAGAATGGGTCTGTGTGGTCAGTGTGCACCATGTAAAAAAAATCCTGGAGCACGCAGTGCATAATGAGAAAAAAAAAACTCCGACCGTTTTTTTTTAATTAAAATTCCGACTTTGTGGTCTATTTTCGTATAGTATTTATGGTTGTATTCTCGTTTTCTTGGTCTCATTTGATAGAATGAAAAACATATTATAGAAATAGATGTGATTTTGATTGATTTTACTTTAAAAAGAACCTAGAAATGGAGCTCAAAGTAGGGGAAATGTTTGATTTTTGCCAATGTTCAAAAGTAAACAAATGATGCCATTGTCCAATAAATGTCCAACTAACCATTTTAATATGCAGTCATGAATGGTTTGATGTTATTTATGCAATTATTACAGTATTGCAGTAGTCTGCATAATAGTAAGTCTTCTATTTTTTGTTTGAATAAAAATTCAAAATAGAAAGCAAGAGTAATATCAGAGGGGCCTGGAGACGTGACTGATGAACAAAGAAAATGTTATTTTAGAGCCAGGAATGTCTGCATTGTTCATTCTGGACCTTATTTTGAAATTGTCATATTTTTTATTTTTTGTGAAATTGGCCAAATTGCAAATTTCTGACCACATTGTTAGGTAGTTGAAATTGGTAAATGGGCAGTTTCTTGTACTCAGTCGATAGAAAAAATGGAGTTCTAAAGAAATAGCTATGAGTTTGGGCGACTGGAACAATGGAATTAGCCGAAAATAGGGCTCAAAGTGGGCGAAATCGCCGATTTGTAAACAGCGCCAAGGTCGCTAACTTCGCGAGAGCATAATTCCGTCAGTTTTCCATCAAATTTTGTTTTTTTTGGTGTCATTACAATCGGGAAAAGATTCTCTATCATTTCATGAGAAAAAATAATTTTTTTTTTTTTAAATTTTGCGACACCAGGAGACGCCTCAGGATTGGGGGTTGCGACAGTCAAAGGGTTAAGGGTTATAGGTGTGGTTTGGGATATTATCAGTTTGGAGTGACTATCTAAACTGTCGTATCTGGGCACCTCTGCAAAGACAGTGATTATGTATGACTGATGGTGAAAGTGTTGACTAATAATGAAAGTTTTTTTCTTTCTTTTTGGGTTTTTCTTTCTTTTGGGTCACGCTGCCTTGGTGGGAGATGGCTGACGTGTTAAGAAAAAGAAAAAAAAATTTCATTCTCACTTCCTCCTCCCTCAGTTTATAAACTTTCACCTCTCTCCTACTGTTGCTATTTTCTTGTTGTCCCATCTGCCTCTTACTCTAATTGTAGCTACAACTAGATAATGATCCGATATATCCATTGCCCCTCTGTAAACATGTACATTCTGAAGCCTACCCATCAGTGATTTATCCAGCAATACATAATCTAACCCTTTCAGGGTCCAGAGGCCAAATTTCCAAGTGTGTGCCAGGGTCCAAGAATTTAAAAAAAATAGTTATTTTTTTCTTATGAAATGGTAAAGAATCTTTTTCTGAAGGTAATAAAACAAAAAGTTTGAAATTGGTGGAAAACTGACGAAATTACTCTCTCACGAATTTTGATGTGTCACGATATTTACGCATCGGCAGTTTTGCCGAATTTGACTCCCATTTTAGGCCAATTACACTATTTCAGTTGACCAAATTTTTAGCTATTTCACTAGTATTACTTCTATTCTATCGATTGAGCACAAGAAATCCCCAAGTCAACTGTTTCAACTACAAAATAGTGATCAGAAATTGGTAATTTGGCCACTTTAATGCAAGGTTCAAAATATTCCTATTTCAAAATAGGGTCCAGAATAAACAATGCAGGCATTCCTGGCACTAAACTAACATTTCCTCTGTTCATTAGTTATGTTTTCAGGCTTCACAAATCAATTCCATTTTGATTTTTAATTCACATAATGAATTTTTATTCAAACCAAAAAAATAGAAGATTTACTGTCATGCAATATAGTAATAATTGTATAAATAATATCACCACATTTGTGAACGTGTATTAGACCCACCAGCTGGCGTGTATTAGACGTGTGAGGTCATTTGTTTACTCTTGAACATAAGCAAAAAATTTAACATTTCCGCTACTTTGAGCTCAGTTTCAAGCCATTTTCAGTACTAAAACCAATCAGAATCATCTCTATTTCTGTAATATATCTTCCATTCTATCAAACGAGACCACGAAATCGCAAATACAACTATAAAAAACATACAAAAAAATTCTGCAAAGTCGCTGTTTTAATAGAAAATTACGGTCTATTTTTTTCTCTCATTATGCACTGTGTGCTGCAGGATTTGTTTTATGTGGTGCACACATACCACATAGATGTATTCTCTCGTATCTAGGCCCAAATTTACTGCTCTCAGCTTATCAGAGTGAGCTGAGCTCATGGCGTAGATCTACGGTTTGGACCCTGAAAGGTCTAACAAACTACTTTCATTGCATGCTATATCATATCTTGTGTACTTATCTTTTTCCAAAAATGTGTATTATTACCAAACCTCTTTCTACACATAGTTCAATTAAAGGCTTCCCATTTTCATTTACCCCTGGCACCCTAGATTTACCTACTACTCCATCTATAACATTTTTACCCACTTTAGCATTTTCTTTACTGTGAATAAAAAGATTTAATATACCACTACCAGAAATGTAGTTACCGGAGAGCACTACCGCTTTGTGAGCATGTGGATGGGGGGCAGCAACTACCTGGCGGCAGCATTTGTTATGGTGGTTTTCACCCTGAGTGTGTCCATGCTACTGCGCTACTCCCACCATCAGATCTTCCTCTTCATCGTGGACCTCCTCCAAATGTTGGAGCTGAATGTGGCTATTACCTTCCCTGCAGCACCCATGTTGACTGTCATCCTTGCACTTGTTGGTGAGACTTGAAAACACACAAACCTGTTTTGCTCTGTCATAAGATAGTTTTAATTACTACATCAGCCTTATCCATTGCATGAAAACAGTTGCCACTCGGGTGGGCTAGCTAAGATGTTATCAGTAGCAGTATTGTGCATTTCTTGGGTAGTCTGATTTTTATCACAATGGTACCTGGCCTTATATACACACACTGTTTGTGAAGCCATTGGTTGGCGATTTCTTGTGTTATGTAGGATTTGTGGTACATCCCTTAAATAATAAGCAATATTTTGAGATCCTTGAAAGCTTGTCGGGTTTTCCATTTGCTGATTGCAAGTAATTTTTACCTGGGCATCATTCATTTGCACAAGTCAGCACAGTCATCCATTTCTTGGATTTGCCAGTATTACAAATTATTTTGAATGAGCTTGTCTCATTGGCATTGTAAATTTTTTCTGGAAATGAAATATGATCTTCCATAATATATAAATAACTGCCAATAATTGGTTGCAGTACTTTCTCCAGATCCTAGATCCTTGTTGCTGGTGAGAGGCTGTAAATACAAGAAAGTGAACCTTCCTTAGATCAGACTTGATTGCCTCTTACTCCATATGCTCTGTATAACCCCTGTGGGTTTAATGCTTAAACCTGATGATGATGACAATCATAATCATCATCGTCATAATTGTCATATTCCAAATGGCTTAATGGGGCAAATAAATGTTTCTCGAGTCTCTGAAAACACTCATTAGGCTTTAATTTAATTAATGAAGAGTTCAGATAATTTTTTATTTGGAGGTGGTGTTTTGTATCGTTTGTTGGTGTTTTAGATGGTTGAATTTGAACTTTGAGCTCAAGTTTGATTATATGAATGCTGAAGTTGGGTGTGAAAGTTACTTCATAGACTTCCATTGTGCAAAAATAATGTTATTGAGTTTGAGAGGCCTAAGTGAATAATGTTAAAGATTTTTGTGGAAAATGACACACATCTTCTCGGTAGGTATGGAAGCCATCATGTCGGAGTTCTTCAATGACACCTCGACAGCTTTCTACATCATCGTGCTGGTGTGGGTCTGTGACCAGTATGAAGCCATCTGCTGCCACACAGCCATCACACGGCGCCACTGGCTTCGCTTCTTCTACCTCTACCACTTTGCCTTTTACGCTTACCATTATCGGTTTAATGGCCAGGTGAGAATCCAAATGCAGCACAATATTTATAGTGTAAGGGACATTTTAATGTGCATTGTTAATTTGCCTATTGTTAATTTTTATTTATGAATTTTTCCCTTTTAGCATTTATAGCAAGTTTGCAACAAAATACTCCACTATTGGAGGTACTTATGAGGAGAGAGGGGTTTTAATTCAAGGAAGTGGATATATCCTCCCCTTTCGTGGATTGACCCTGATTGCCTCCAATTCCCCACATGCTGTATGATCTCTGCAGATTTAGCATTCTTCTTGATGACAGTAATGATAATATAGTAATAATATAATACAGTAGCATCAATTGGTTGTAATTTCTTCATTTTAGCTCAGTCCAGCTCTAAGTACTGCATGGATAATAAGAACTTGATGCACAGTAATGCATAGTAATAGTTGATAATCATTAATTGCTTGTTTGATTTTAATTTGATAACTTAATACTCTGACAGCAACCACCAAGGGAGGTACTACTGTCCTGACAAGTGAGTGTAAAACGGAAGCCTGTAGTTGTTTTATATGATGGTGGGATTGCTGGTATCTTTTTTCTGTCTCATAAACATGCAAGATTTCAGGTATGTCTTGCTACTTTTACTTACCCTTAGGTCACACTACACATGCATGTACAAGCATATATATACACACACCCCTCTGGGTTTTCTTCTATTTTCTTACTAGTTCTTGTTTATTTCCTCTTACCTCCATGGGGAAGTGAAACAGAATTCTTCCTCCATAAGCCATGCGTGTTGTAAGAGGCGACTAAAATGCCAGGAGCAAGGGGCTAGTAACCTCTTCTGTATATATTACTAAATGTAAAATGAGAAACTTTTGGCCGTATCCCAACCCGCCTCGGTGGGATACGGCCAGTGTGTTGAAAGAAAGAAAGAAAATAATATAATACAGTAGCATCAATTGGTTGTAATTTCTTCATTTTAGCTCAGTCCAGCTCTAAGTACTGCATGGATAATAAGAACTTGATGCACAGTAATGCATAGTAATGGTTGATAATCATTAATTGCTTGTTTGATTTTAATTTGATAACTTAATACTCTGACAGCAACCACCAAGGGAGGTACTACTGTCCTGACAAGCGAGTGTAGTTGTTTTATATGATGGTGGGATTGCTGGTATCTTTTTTCTGTCTCATAAACATGCAAGATTTCAGGTATGTCTTGCTACTTTTACTTACACTTAGGTCACACTACACATGCATGTACAAGCATATATATACACACACCCCTCTGGGTTTTCTTCTATTTTCTTACTAGTTCTTGTTTATTTCCTGTTACTTCCATGGGGAAGTGGAACAGAATTCTTCCTCTGTAAGCCATGCATGTCGTAAGAGGTGGCTAACGTGCCGGGCGCAAGGGGCTAGTAACCCCTTCTCCTATATACATTACTAAAATTACAATGGGAAACTTTTTTCTTTTTGGGCCACCCTGCCTTGGTGGGATATGGCCGGTTTGTTGAAAGAACAATAACTTAATATTCTGGCTGTTCATGTGGAGTATTTTCCTAAATTTTGCATAAGCTGATAGATTAAAAGGTTGTTTAAAGGTTGTCAATGAAATAAGTAACATCAGTGAGAATTTGACTTATTTAATCTATATTCTGTTTTAACTTGTTTAATTATCTTAAACATTTTTTATTTTTTAAGCTGTAAGGAACGTAACCCTATTTTTCCCATACATTCCTCACTTCTCTTAACATGGATTTCAGGCATAATACAGTTTTCTGAAATATAACTACCAAGTTATTGGAGTCTACTGTACATTAATTGTATTATCCTTAAAGATAATTATCCTTAGGATAACTGTCTCCTAAATGTATTACTTTAGTCAAAAATATTTTTGTTCTTATGCATAAATTTAATTATAGTCACTGATGATAATCTTGCATTAAACTGTCTGCACATATATACTTCTAGCAGTAGCCTTTATCCATTATACCCAGGAATGCTGTATTCAATGAAGACAAACACTAAAAATAGTTGCAAACAGGATTTATTGTTGATATTGAGGAATGTATGAAAAAGGTAACTATCAGTAAAGTAAATGAGAGGCATAATCACAGCTCTGTTTCATGACCAACACCCACGAGTTCCTTGTTAGGGTTAAAAGTAGAGATGTGAAAATAGAATAGATCGCATTGATCATGTAATAATTATTATTTCAGTACTCGTGGTTGGCCCTGATGACATCATGGCTCTTCATCTTGGTAAGTGTTTGTATGATTTCCTGCTAGTTTTGTAGTGTAAAATGATTGAAGTTTAGCATTGATAGGTTTCATGTGTATAAGAAACATGCTACATGAGAATTAAATAAACGTTAATAAAAGGACGATGCTGTGCTTTTCAAGTTTGGGAAGGTGTGTAAAGGAAGAAAATTGAAAGTGATCATAGATAAGAGTAAGGTGATGAGGGTATCAAACAATTTAGATAAAGAAAAATTGGATATTACATTGGAGGGAGGGAGTATGGAAGAAATGAATGTGTTCCAATATTTGGGAATTGAATTGTCAGCAGATTGGTTTATGAAGGATGAGGTTAACCGTAGAATTGATGAAGGAAAAAGTGAGTGGTGCTTTGAGGTATCTGTGGAGACAAAAAATGTTATCCATGGAGGCAAAGAAGGGAATATATGAAAGTATAATGGTACCAATACTCTTATATGGGTGTGAAACATGAGTTGTAAATGCTGCAGCAAGGAGGAGGCTGGAGGCAGTGGAGATGTCATGTCTAAGGGCAATGTGTGGCATGAATATTATTGAGAGAATTCGTGTGGAAATTAGGAGGAGGTGTGGAGTTACTAAAAGTATGTCAGAGGGCTGAAGAGGGGTTGTTGAGGTGGTTTGGTTATTTAGAGAGGATGGAACAAATTAGAATGACTTGGAGAGTGTATAAATCTGTAGTGGAAGGAAGGCAGGGTAGGAGTCATCCTAATAAAGGTTGGAGGAGGGGGGTAAAGGAGGTTTTGTGGGCGGGGGGCCTGGACTTCCAGCAAGCATGTATGAGCGTGTTATAGGAGTGAATGGAGACGAATGGTGTTTGGGACCTGACGAGCTGTTGGGGTGTGAGCAGAGTAATATTTTGTGAGTGGATTCAGGGAAACTGGGTACCTGGACTTGTCCTGGAGGTGGAAAGTACAATGCCTGCACTTTAAAGGAGGGGTTTGGGATACTGGCTTTTTGGAGTGACCTCTAAACTGTTGTATCTGAGTGCCTCTGCAAAGACAGTGATTATGTATGATTGATGGTGAAAGTGTTGAATGATGAAAGTTTTTTCTTTCTTTTTTTTTGGGTTGCCCTCTCTTGGTGGGAAATGGTCGACATGTTAAAAAAGAAAAAAAAGGATAGGGAGGATTTTGTTAATTGGCAAAGTTAAGTTTGGGGTCTGTCACTATAAATTAAAAATATTTATATTTTTTTTTTTTTTTTATCCTTTCTTTGGGCAAGATTCTGGCACCTTAAGTAATTAATAGCTTAATAAATACTGTAGCTATTTTTGTATTCTAAGACATAACAAGTAAGATGTAAATGGAACAAAAACTTTGTGGAATTCAGTTTTTAAAAGGAAATGCATTGAAATTTAACCCTTAAACGGTCCAAACAAATCGACGTTCAAATTCGTAGTGCTACAAAAGTAGATCTATTTTTTTCAACATACAGTGGACCCTCAACCAGCGATATTAATCCGTTCCTGAGAGCTCATCGTTAATCAAAATAATCATTAGTCAAGTTAATTTTCCCCATAAGAAATAATGGAAATCAAATTAATCCGTGCAAGACACCCCAAAGTATTGAAAAAAAAAAATTTTTACCACATGAAATATTAATTTTAATACACACAAACTGAAGAAGACATGCACAGTTACATGACACTTACCTTTATTGAAGATCTGGTGATGATTGATGGGATGGGAGGAGGGGAGACCGTTGATCTTGTTAGTGTTTAGAAGGGGAATCCCCTTCCATTAGCACTTGAGGCAGCAAGTCTTTTTCTGGGGTTACTTCCCTTGTTCTTTTAATGCCACTAGGACCAGCTTCAGAGTCACTGGACTTCTGTCGCACAACATATCTGTCCATAGAGGCCTGTACCTCTCGTTCCTTTATGACTTCCCTAAAGTGTTTCACAACATTGTCAGTGTAATAGTCACCAGCACGGCTTGCAATAGATGTGCGAGGGTGATTTTCATCAAAAAAGGTTTGCACTTTAAGCCACTTTGCACACATTTCCTTAATCTTTGAAGTAGGCAACTTCTTCAATTTCTCTCTCCCCTCCTCCGAAGCAGTTTCCTCAGGTGTGGCCTCTTACTGTTGAAGATAATCTAGCAGCTCATCAGTGGTTTGTTCTTCATTGTCCTCCTCCACCAACTCTTCCACATCCTCCCCACTAACCTCACCAATATGAGCACTAGTTCCAGGCATTTTTTCCTGTTCACCTGGGTGTTAGTCAACTGTTGTGGGTCGCATCCTGGGGGACGAGATTAAGGACCACAATGGAAATAAGTTAGACAGTCCTCGATGATGCACTGACTTTCTTGGGTTATCCTGGGTGGCTAACCCTCCGGGGTTAATTGTTTCTCGGTAATTGTTTCACGTTAAGCCACACCAACAACACTCTCTCCACATCTTCGAGTAATACAGCTGATGGTGGTGCAGCAACAACAACAGCTGACTGTGGTGCAGCAGCAGCTGCACCTTTGGCAAGAACAGCTTCCTTGATTTCTGTTTTCTTACCCACAGTAGTAGCGATGGTTGATTGGGGTTTATTATACAACCTGACCAGCTCAGAGACGCTCACTCCACTTTCATACTTAGCAATGATCTCTTTCTTCATCTCCATAGTAATTCTCACCCTTTTTGCTGTAGGGTTGGCACTAGAAGCTTTCTTGGGGCCCATGGTGACTTATTTTGCAGGTGCAATCACTATAAAGGCTGTGATAATATGAAATGTTCCAGTTGTTGTATGTTTGGAAGTGACTGCGGTGGCTGGCTGGCTTGTAAACACTGACACCCAAGGGACAAGTGAGGCGCGCTCAGGCCAAAGTGGATGCGTATGGTACGGAACGAATAGCGCTGGTCGGGTTTTTAAGCGCTAGTTGAGGCAAAATTTTTGCGTTTAAATGTATCGCTAGTCAGATTTATCGTTAATCGATGCCATCGCTGGTTAAGGGTCCACTGTATTTTCAAATGTAACAAAAAAAATGTAGATAAAAGTTTTTTTTTACACGTTTTCAAATGTAAAACAAAAAAAGATTACATTTTTTACATACTTTCAGAAGTTGAAAAAACGTACATATACGTTTGGACCATTTAAGGGTTAAAAGTTAATAGGAGCAAATTTGCCAATTGAACAAATGCAACTCTTTGAAAACTATAGACTTATGATTAGGGTTTGATATTCAGGCAGGCCCTGCTTCACAGCATTTTGCTAATACAGCAGTTTTCATTTATGCCCATTCATTTATTCAGACTTCCTACAATATGTTCACCACTCACTATAAGCTAAGGATGAAAATATTTTAAGGTAAGTAATGTGTGTACTGTATATGCATTTTTTAAGCCTAGCTATACTGCTTGCTTAATATGATAGTGTAAACATATCAAGTTTTTATATGCAGCAGTAACCTGGAACCTAACCTGCTGTATAAGTGGGGCTCTCCTGTATTGCTTAGAGTGAAAAATGTACAGGAGAGATACTTATTGAAAGTTAAGTGACTCTATTAGGAAACTTTACCCCACTAGAGGCTTTCATCAAACCACTATAGAGGCAGAATGTCAGGAAAATGTATAGTAGCATGGGGTCACTTATAGTGTAAGTGGATTGTGCAGAATGGTTAATGAAGTCACTTGTAGTGTAAGTGGATTGTGCAGAATGGTTAATGAAGTCACCTGACAGCTGTCTTGACAGTTTAAAATTAATTTAGCCTAAACCCTTGAGATATGGAAGCTCCTTGTGTTCTGTACAGCTGTATTAAGACAAAGGTGCTTATGTAAATTGTCTTCCTTGATAATAATCTTAGCATCATTCCACTTCATCAAGTAGTTGTGAATATTCCTGTGACTAATGCAACTATTATTCATGTGCTATTCAGAGAAATAGTCATAACCATTTGGAATAAATGATGCCTGATTTATCAAGAAAGAATTTACATAACTGCTTCAGCATTTTGTGCACAGCGCCTTCACTGCAACTGACCTCCATACTACTATGCATTTCCTTGTTTTTTTCCCTCTGTAGTGGATTAATAAATTTCCTGGGGAGCAAAATATTTTTATAATATAATTAAAAGGCACAAAACTATGACTGGAACAATGGACAGATAACCAGCACATGGGAGAATGGGCTGGAAACATTTTGGTCCACGTTGGATTGAAATGTTGCCATGAGTTTTGTTCTTTGTGCTGGTTATCAGTCCTTTGTTCCAGTCACAGTATTGTGCCTTTTAATTCTTTAAAGTAACTGTAACATAAATATTTTGCTCACCAGGGGATTTATTAATCCACTACAGAGGGAAAAACAGGGAAATGCATAGTAGTATGGAGGTCAGTTGCAGTGAAGGCATTGTGCACAAAATGCTGATGCAGTTATGTAAATTCTCTTTCTTGATAAATCGGGCATCATTTATTCCAAATGGTTATGACTATTTCTCTGAATAGCACAGACATTAATAATGGTTGCATTAGTCACAGGAATATTCACAACTACTTGATGAAGTGGAATGATGCTAAGATTATTATCAAGGAAGACAATTTACATAAGCACCTTTGTCTTAATACAGCTGTACAGAACACAAGGAGCTTCCGTATCTCCAGGGTTTTGGCTAAATTAATTTTAAGCTGTCAGGACACAGCTGTCAAGTGGCTTCATTAACCATTCTGCACAATCCACCTACATTATAAGTGACCCCATGCTGCTACAGTAGGGCCCAACTTATATGGCAGGTTAGGTTCCAGGCTACTGCTGCAAAGCAGATATGGCTGGAAAGCAGAATGCCATATTTTTCCACTTATAAATGCCAGATAACAAGTTTACACTAACGTATATTAAGTTGGAAATAGAACTAGGTATTAAAAAGCAATATAAAGTAAAATACACATGTAATACTCATTATCTACCTCAAAATATTTGTAGTCTTAATGTAGGACAAAAGGTGAGTAGTATTCTAAGAAGTCAGGTGTGGGTAGGTATGGTAGCCCTCCTGGCCACCCCATCCACACATAATATACTATGACGCTTAAAGTGCCCTTGGGTGATAAAATGCATATACAGTACACTCATTACTTACCTTAAAATGTGTAGTCTTAATGGTCGGCTGATAAACGCTACTGCATTTATCGGCCGAATCGTATTAAGGCTGGTTTTTGGGCTGAAATTTTGCTCTGTATTTCGGCCGATGCATTGCAAATCGGCCGTATTAGACGCGTGAGCCCGCCTCCCACTGGGATGCTGCGTGTAGGTGAGCCAGTCTCCCTGTCTCTCTCTCGGAGGATGAGCATATACATGTACTGTACTCTGTGCATTCATCCAAACATTTCCTTCAAATCCATTGGTTTTTGTGCTTGTTTATTAAGTGTGGCTGCAATAAGCCAACATAGGACCAAAGAAAGTTCCTAGTGCCAGCCCTTTGGTAAAGAAAGTGAGAAACACGATAAAATTGAAGAAAGAAATTGTAGAAAAATACTAGTGGTGTGTGTGTGTGTGTGTGTGTGTGTGTGTGTGTGTGTGTGTGTGTGTGTGTGTGTGTGTGTGCGCTCCAGCTTGCCAGGATGTATGGCAAAAACAAATCAACAATCACTTCTATCCAGGCAAAGAAAGAGCAAATCAAGGAAGCTGATGTAGCAAAAGGGGTAAACATGTTAATTAAAGAGAGATCACAAACAATGGAAGATGTGGAGAGAGGCAGGGAGTGTAGCAGGCAGGCAGGGAATGGAATGTAGCAGGGAATGTGGAAGGGAGGCAGGGAGTATAGCAGGCAGGCAGGGAGTGTAGCAGGGAAACGAGTGTGGAAGGGAGGCAGGGAGTGTAGCAGGCAGGCAGGCAGGGTGTGTAGAAGGCAGGGAGTGTAGCAGGCATGCAGGGAGTCAGGGAGTGTGGAAGAGGCAGGGAGTGTAGCAGGCAGAGAGAGAAGTAACCCCAGAGAGGGCTTTGATACCTGAAGTCTTTATGGAGGGGATTGCCCTTCCAAATAATAATCAGTCCTCCCTCTCCTCCTCCCTGTCTTCCATAAGCCAACAAGAGTCTTCCATAAAGGTATATAATAGTGATTTAAACGTTCATTTATTTATTTTATTTGGTTATTATTGTTTTGTGTATATAAAACTATAGTTAATCCTTAAAAAATGCATTTTTTGGTTAATATTTTTGGGTGTCTGGAACAGATTAATTGTATTTACATTAATTCTTACGGGAAATATTGCTTCGAATTTAGGCCGACCTTCTGCAACAGATTATGGCCAACATTCGGGGTTCCACTGTATTTTGTAGAAAGTCCAGTGTGGGAGGTAGGGTAGGGTAGCCCGCCTGGCTACCCCACCCACTATGTAAACATATGGATGAACCATCTGGTTATGGTTCATACACATTCATACAAACGCCTCACATTGTGTACAAGTTGTCTTCACAGTGGTACAATAGAATAAATAAAGACCAGCACTTCCATTCTCATGTAACATCATTTTTAGAAGGAATGATGGTCTGACACGTTAGTACAGAATAAATAAATGGCAACACTCCCATTTTCATTCAACACACCATTTTTAGAGTGAATGATATTATTATTATTATAAAAAAGAAGTGCTAAACCCACAAGGGTCATGAATAGCTATAGAGTGAAAGCATGCAAAAGGAATATTTTTCTGCAGTTAAGTAACTGGTGTTTGACTAGAGAAAACAATTCTTCTGACACTCCTACAAACCACTTGGTAAACAAATCTCATATTTGTCAATTTTTATACTTTGGGTATGTGTATCATGTTTATATGTTACGTAATGTGTTTATTACCTAATCTTGAAAAGAATATCTATCATAGACGGATTAATGGAAATCTATTTACTAACGTAATATACAACATTTAATGCACCCAGGAGACTATTATATGACGTCAAGAGTAGAGAGACTCTTAGTGATTTTAATGTGTACCTGCATGCCAGCACAGTGTAAATATATTTAGGTACAGGTACACATAAGTGTAATTATCAGAGTACATATAAAATATGCAATAACTTCAAAACATTTGAAACTTTGGAAAATTTCCAGACATAATAGAGAGATTTGCTCATGAATGTAAACAAACCAAATGGGGCGTGCCATATTAGAAAGACCGCTCGCCATATAGCAAGTTTTGGTCACAATTTGAAATTGCCGTATTAGTGGAACGCTGCACGGTAAAGCGGGGCCATACTGTGTACATTTTGCTATCTTTGTCTCTGTAGTGGTTTGATGAAAGCCTCTAGTGGGTAAAGTTTCCATAACAGTTACTTAAAATTCAGTAAGTATCTCTCTTGTACTTTTCTCACTCTAAGCAATATAGGAGGGCCCTGCTTATACAGCAGGTTAGGTTCCAGGTATTGTATGTGTACCTTTGTAACAAAAGAAACACTTAGAAGGTTGAGGGCATATTGCCAGAAGGAAATGAAATGAGCAATGTAGTTATCACAAAAGAACTAAAAGCTAAAAATACTGAAAAAATGCATTAATTGTAAAACAAGAGAGTGTAGATTTTTAAGGTGAAGATAATCTAGGAGTATATACAAGCATTGAGGTAATATACATTCACTATGCAATTTAAAGGAGGATTGTATGAAGAGTTAATTTCATATGTGAATATTTTTCAGAAGTGAATGTTAAGACTGAAGTTGAAACAAGTGAGTACAACTACAATAAATAATTAACACTTTAAAGCTTTTCTTATTTTTGTTTGTAGTAGATACATTATATATTGATGGGGTACAGTGTGTGTGGCCTACTACTACCACCACCACCTATCAATGTTGCATAAGAAATTAACTACCTCTTACACAAAAATGAAAAAAAAACTTCACTCCTCAAAATTGATTCTGTTTTAGAATTACATTTGGCAGTTTTTTCAGTTTTTCAGTGGCCATAGTAACACTGGAATGGCACTAGCAAACTCTTGGAGATAATAAAAGAGCAAGTAAAAAGATCATTGTATATTTCATTGTCAACTGAGGTCCCAGCAGACTTGTTTTTTTTTTTTCACATGTGTGCTCATTTGCACCATTAATTATAATTTATTACACTAATACTGGAACCTTATTTAATCTTTCATTTTCTCTTCCTCAGCACTCAATGCTGTACTTCTTCCACCATTATGAGCTCCCAGCAATATTGCAGCAGGCTCAGATTCAGCAACTTGGTCGTGTACACACCGTTAACATTGTTCTCCGCAATGTTCCCAATAATAACCAGAATGGAATCAATACAGGCAATGCTGGTGTTGGTGATAATTCTGTTGCTGGTGGCAGAGAGAATACCAACACTGGAGCCAACAATACTAGGAACGATGGAGTACAAAGGCCAAATATTCCTCCCATGGTTAACTTGGTTTTCCGCAACATGACTGGTGGCTTGGGAAATAACAGAAATGGAAATGCCTCCTTAAGCTTTGTGTTCAGGAATGTAAGAAATATTATGCAAAACCTTCAGCAGAATAATACATCATCAGGTAGCACAACGACCACAGCATCTTCCTACAGTTCTAGTTCTGGTACTGATACTGGCTCTAGTACAGACAATGTATCTTCAACAGCAGCAGCAACCTTCTTAGGAACAGTTGCAGATGCTGGATCTGATGCAATAAATCCAGCCACCTTGGCAGCTGGTGCGACTTCTCTCCCAACATCTCGAGTTTCTGAAACAGCACAATATGGTTCTAACAGTTCTCCTTCTTCCTCTTTCATCACTTCATCTGTTGTGACGTCTCCAGTAACAAATGCTTCACATACATCCTCTGTTTCCTCTCCAAGATTAATGAATATGAATTCTTCAGAAAATTCAAGTAGTAATCCTTTAAGTTTTATTGCCTCAAATAGAACCACTTCTGTAACACCTGACTTCATCAGTTCTTCCACAAACAGCCTTCCTTCCGTAATTTCACATAATTCTTCACAGTCATTGTCCGAGGGCATGCCTTGCAATTCAAATTCTTCATTGGATAATGTGATGAACAAAAATGGTGTGAGGTATAAAGCTATTCCAGTAGGTGGAGGTGAGAGAGAGTGCATTGATTTGCTTAGTTGTGAGGGTTTAGAGTTTCCCTCACATTGTGTGATGACTGATGACACTGTGCTTAGTAGAGCCTCTGTAATTAGACAAACAGTTAATGCAAGCAGCCTTTTAAAAAATGGTGTTGATACAACATACAGTAGTACTGCAACAGCCTTGGAACCTTCACTAACACAAAAATCAGAATTACCAAACAATGACTGCCAGGCGGTAGAAGTTTGCACAAGCAGTGATGCAGTAGCAGTGGAAGCTCTGCAACCAGAACAAGAAGTAAGACATTGTAATACCTCAGAAACTCCCTACCACCACCGACCTCACTTAGATAGTGAAAGCAGTGGGTAGGGCAGTCAAATTATTACTTTTTAATGTAATAAATGTATAAATGTACTATTGTCACAGGCTTTTAAATATAAGGTATTGTTTTTATTGTTTACTCTATACTTTAAACACAACTTTAAAGGTGTTGGCTAGAAAAATGTGTATTTTTTTCTTTTGCAGTTATATATGAAGTATATAAATGTATATATTTACTGAATATAGTTATCTTCGCAATTTTATTTATATCACAGAATTAAGTTTATTTAAAGACATCGGATGCAAATTTAGTGTAGCTGCCATTGTTCCACATTTTGGCATAGTACATGTATTCCACTGTTGTCAACCTCTGAGAGTGGCAGATAGAATTGAAGTTTATTCCACCAAACAAGACCACAACATATTTTTCAGCTTTTTTTTTTTATAAGTCTGCAGCTGAACAAAATGTGCCTACATTTTAGTATAATGAAAGGCTTCTTAAATGTGAAATGCATTTTTCATTATTACCAGTGACAGGTTCTTGGTTTGTTGAATGTGTTGGTAGCAACCTCAGTGATTATTAATATCTAACTTGCTACCACTTTGAGTTTTTAACCCTGAATGCCATCAATAAAGGTAATCAAGCATTACTTATTTTTTTAACAATATGTAGGTTACTATATTTTATTTTGAAATTAAATTCTTTGTTAAAGATGCTAATTCACCCCCTCCCCGTAAGATCCAAGATTAAGATTTGTGACATCCTTCTTTTCCCTTGCTCTCAGCTTCTCTTAGTTTCTATTGTCTCCTCATGGCTCCCTTCTATTTTATTTTAATTAGGGGTTAGCACTAAACCCATAGGGTCATATAGTGCCTGGGGAATGGGAGGCATGTTTAATCCATGGAAGAGGATGAGAAATCCAATTCCTTAGATCAAAAGTCCTTGAAAGGGCTTTCTTCTACCGAGACCAACATGAGTTTTATTAGTATCCAGCAATCTACTCCATTAACCCCTTTCAGTGACAGTCACTTAGAAGTGCATCATTGAGGCCAGGGTCCCTCATGTTTTACGTCTTGAGCTCGGCTTTCTCGGATCAGCTGTGAGTGGTAAATTTTGGCATAGATATAAGAGAATGGATGTGTGTGTGAGTGTGCACAGTATAAAAAAAATCCTGCCCCATGCAGTGCATGATGAGAAAAGCAAAACTGACCTTGTGCTTGGTTTAAAATGCATGTAGCGACTTTGAAGTATTTTCTAGAATTGTTTTTAATGTTTTATTGGCTCTTTCTTGGTGTCATTTGATAGACATAATAATGATTATGAATTCAAAATGGAAAGCAAGTGTAATATAGGAGAGGCCTAGGGAAGTAATTAATGAACAGAAGAAATGTTTTAAGTGCCAGTAATACCTATAGTGTACTGGACTGTTTTTAACCCTTTGGTTCAGTCGTATATATACATCTTAAGAGCCAGTGTTTTTGACGTATTTATACTCCAAAGTTCTAGCGGCTTCAAATCAAGCTGGAGAGAGCTGGTAGGCCCACATGTGACAGAATGGGTCAGTGTGTGCAGTATAAAAAAAATCCTGCAGCACAGTGCATAATGAGGGAAAAAAAAAATGTTTTTGGATTAAAACGCTGATTTTGAGGCATATTTTTGTATAGTAGTTATGGTTGCATTCTCATTTTCTTGGTCTCATTTGATAGAATGGAAGACATATTACAGAAATAGATATGATTTTGATTGGTTTCACTGAGAAAAGGACCTTGAAGTTGAAGTAGCAGAAATATTTGATTTTTGCCGATATTCAAGAGTAAACAAATGAAATCATTGTCCAATAAATGTCCAACTAGCCAGTCTGATATGCAGTCACGAATGTGTTGACATTTATACAATTATTACAAAAATGCAGCAGCGCTGTATAGCCCTTGTGGCTTAGCGCTTCTTTTTGACTATAATAATAATACAATAATGCAGTAGTCTGCATAACGGTAAATTTTGTATTTTTTGTGAATAAAAATAAAAAATAGAAAGCAAGAGTAATATAAGAAGGGCCTGGAGATGTGACTGATGAACTGAGAAAATGTTATTTTAGTGCCAGAAATATCTGCATTGTTCATTCTGGACCCTATTTTGAAACTGGCATCTTTAATTTGAGTGAAATTGGCCAAATTGCCAATTTCTGACCACTTTATTGGGTAGTTGAAATCGGTAAATGGGCAGTTTCTTGTATACAATGGATAGAACAAATGGAGTCTTAAAGAAACGGCTATGAGTTTGGTTGACTGGAACAATGGAATTGGCCGAAAACAGGGCTCAAAGTGGGCGAAATCGCTAGTGCGTAAATATCTCGGAGATCGCTAACTTTGCGAGAGCATAATTCCATAAGTTTTCAATCAAATTTTGTACTTTTGGTGTCATTACCATCGGGAAAAGGTTCTCTATCTTTTTTTTTTTTTTTTTTTTTTTTTTTTTTTTTTTTTTTTTTTTTTTTTTTTTTTTTTTTTTTTTTTTTTTTACACATTCTTCAACACAGAGTGCAAGTTTGTGAGCAGGGTTCTCGACAGTCAAAGGGTTAAATTTGTATTTTTAAATGTGTAAAATTTGCAAAATTACTGACTTCTGTGCACTTTATAGGGTAGTTGTAATTCAATGGGCAGTTTCTCGTGTTTATTGATAGAACAGAAGGTATACTAACAAAATAGATGAGCATTTGGTCGAATGGAATTGGCTTAATAGGACTTGGTGGACAAAATAGCTGATGTGTTGCACTGGGACTGCTAACTTTGCACCTGCATAATTATAAGTTTTACATCAAATTTCATGCTTTTGGTGTCATTACATTCAGATAAGGATTCTCTACCATTTCAGATGAACTTTTTTAAGTGGACACTGAGAGCAATATTAATTTCAGGGATCTGGAGATTGAAAGGGTCCCACTGATTTCTGAACTTTTTTTTTTTTTTTTTCCTAGAGAGGGGAGGTGCCTTGATTTTGAAAGGTTCTTGAATCAGGGTATTGGATCTACCCTCTCTTTCCTCCTGTTTACCTTCCCCTCAGGTGCTGTATGACCCTGGTGGGGCTTTACACTTCCTCATGAATATAATAATAGTTTTATGGCTTTTAATCACTGTGGTAATTACTGCTGTTTTATTATCTCTGAAATACTGCAGTCTTTTCCTGGCCTATTTATATGAATGATGTGTGATTTTTCTGAACAATAAACCAACCATAAATTTAATGGTGTTCAACGTCTTCAAGGGGGGCTCCTTGGCGTGGTGAAGAGGCTCTTGGTCTGAGGAATTAGACCTGTCGGTCTACAATACAGCTTACGCCACTACCCCATCACATTCACAACGTTCATGTCCACTTTCACATGCTTAAACACAAAATCTGAAACATTAATCTAAAAATATATCCTGGATACATTAGTAATTTTAATTTATAAACATCAGCACTGACATTATATTAACATAAACATAGTTACTTAACAAAAGTTTAGATATTCCATAGCTATACACTTTACCAGCAACTTAAGGAAGAATTGAGGGCAGCGAAGATGGAGATACGGCGACTGACCGAGGAAAACGAGGATTCGTAGTAGTCCTCCTGTTTTGAGTCCTCAGGTCAAGAAGGGATCGTGGTCAGTGGTTGGACAGCAGGGGACGACGAAGTTGACGATCAAGAAGACGAATGGAAAGCCAGAAACGATGAAGAAGAAAGAGACTGCTGTGGAAACTCCCGTGGAAACCTCCAACGCATTCTCGGTGCTACCCGACGAATGTGAGTCTACTACTGGGATCATCACGACGAACGACAACAAGGAAGGTAAGAATATTGTTGTTGTTGGGGATAGCCAGGTTAGATACATGGATAGGGCATTCTGCTTGAAGGACAGGAGTAGGAGACAAAGGGTATGCTTTCCTGGGGCTGGGATGGAGGACATTGTTAGCCGGCTTGACAACATCATGAACGGTAATGGGATCAATCCTATTATTTGCCTCAGTGCTGGAGGCAATGATGTAGGCAAGCGTAGAAGTGAGGATTTAGTTAGAAAGTTCAGGACAGCTATAGACATGATTAGGAAGAAGGGGGGGCACCCTGTTATATGTGGCATTTTGCCAATAAGAGGTGTTGGTAATGAATGGTTGTCCAGAGCAATTGGTATTAATTGTTGGCTGGATAAACACTGTAAGGATAATGCAGTACCATTCATTGACAACTGGGACAACTTCTATGGCCGAAATGACATGTATGCCAGGGATGGGGTTCACTATCCAGGGCAGGTGTGGGTTTTCTTGCTATACTCAGGTTTTGAGGGGGTTGTTAGGACTTTAAACTAGGATTAGTTAGAGGTATGGGTTTAGAAATGACTAATAATGAGTATGGATATATTGACTTATGCTCTGATATTAAGAATCTTAATAGTAACTGTCATGTAGTAACTCTGGGTAAATGATAATTTCAGAAATTGTGTAAAAACAAAGATGAAAGGAAAAATGTGCAAAAGAAAAAACATATGAGGGTTTTTTTTATGCTAACAGTCGAAGTGCAAAAAAAAAAATTTAATGAACTCGTTTGGTGCATGTGCTGGAACTTTGAATCATTGCTTTAAAAACGAAACGGGTATGATTTTAAAAAGTGGGTATGACTTTGATGTAATATTCGGGATTTAAGTTATTCAATGGGGGATAGAATTTTAAAGGGAAGGGGGGGGGAGTTGATTGTATGTCCCAGAAAATATTAATTTTTGCATAAAAAAAAGGTATAAAAATTTGATGGAGCATAACAGAGTCTGTTTGGGTGAGTTTGGGGAGGGTCAAGAAAACAATTCTAGGGGGTAATATACCGCCCAGGCTTGGATCACGATAGAGGGAGACTTCTTTGGGGCGAAATTTTTAGGGCTTCTGTTTCAAGTAACGTAGTCGTAGGGGCTTTAAATTTAGCCAAATTGACGGAATTTTTGAAAGGTAATCAGAGTCAGTGACTTCATGGGAAAAAGTTTAGGGGCTGTTTTTTGAAACAGGTGTAACGAACCTACCGGGGTAATAATTTTTAGACCTAGTTTGTAAAAAAAGGAAAAAACTCGTGAAAAATCTGGAGATCACGAAGGCTTGGCGCAAGTGTCACAAAACATCACCTTTAGATTAATTGGGAATGCAAGAAAAATGATAAAACGTAAAAATCCCCCATTTCGTTCTGCCGATTATAAGGCTAGGGAACATTTTGCTAATCTTGATTGGGGTTATCTAGCTAATGATTTTTTTGAGATAATCATATTTATGAATATGAAGGGATCGCTTTTCGATGTTTTCAAAATAATGTACCGGGCCCCAAAGGTATTACATTCCCCGAAAAAATTAGGTCTAATAATAACGTCCCAAAGGGGTTAACAGGACTTAAAGCACTTTAGGGAGAAAAGGGGAATTTTTAGGCCATCAGAAGGGAGGGGTTTTAAACCTTACTGACCAATATGTTCAGCTTAAAAGAAAAGAAAAAAAAAGCGATTAGAAAGGCAAAAACGTGACATAAAATTAGAGTTGCTATGAATCAAAGACTAACCCAAAGGGGGGTTTTTTCAAGTGTATAGACGAAAGGTTAAAGGAAAAGTGGCCTCGAAATCTGGGGAAGGACAGTGACGGGTAA